TGTCAGGGACGATTAATTAACGATTGTGGTACTTAAATACCCGGGAAACGTAAGGTATTTAGTTAGATATCGTTGGTGAATTCATAATTTGCCTGTATCGTTTATATCTTGTTAAAAAGGGTACGTACACAAAATTGTTCCAATCTCCGTTGGCAGATGATTTTTTAAACATTTTCATTTTTGTCTTATCAGTTATCTCTTATCACTCTGAGAGAAGATATATAACCATATATGTAAAATTCTAAGTTACTGTGTTATTTTGTACTGATTACGTCATTATTAAGGTAGTCGCTATGTAGTTGATGCGACTGTAAATAAATCAAATCAAATCAAATCAAATCAAATCTGAGAGAAGATATTTATAATTCTGTTCAAAATACCCTGTTATATGACTTGTGGTGAAGGGCTTCGTTTTGGGTAAGCAATAAAATATTTACGGCCGGCAAGCCATTCATTAGTTTCAGAAAGTTTACTATTAAGTTTCCTTACACAGGTTTTCGAAGGAGTTGTTATAGTAATGTCCGGCGTTGGCCTGCCTGCTATAATAATGTTTTTCTTATCTTCAAAGTTCCGCGAAACAAAACTCTTCATTAATAAATCTCAAATTACGCACGTGTGTTTGTCTTCGCCGCTGCCTGCAGTAAGAAGATCCACGCTCGTGCTTTTCCCACCGAAACTCAACAAATAACTGACGTAGTAGTTTCACTTACAACGTTAAACTAAAATCTAAATTAGCACGTATGATCATAAACATAAACTACACTTAGAATTATGATTTTCAGTGTACATACACCAATACACATTTATCATTAAAAGCAAAGCTTTTTTTTGAAACATTGCTTTCATTCAAGCGAGGTCCTGCAACTCAGCCTTTGCAAGCCCCCACGAGAGTACCAAGCACACACCATTGCACCCTAGCTCCCTGATGCCCCTTTTTTTAGCATGAAAATCTACATTCGGAGATATAGTCATAGGACATTTCTCAAAAATGGCTTCAACTTTTTTGGCCTGGTTCAAAATTTGCATATAGGACCAAGCTTTTCTGTTCATTCATATTCTGAAAGTCATATTTCAGTTCTACCACTGGAGAACAGAAAAGACGGCCTTTTTGGCTGGAAAATGGTAGCTGAGCAGAAAATTGAAATGCTGGCCTAGACTACAAAAAGGTTAGAAAAGTAACTAGAGCAAGAAAGTCTTTCATTCTATAGCACCACTAGTTATTATTTGAGACGTTATTAGCATTCCGGGTAGCAAGTTTCTATGAGACTATGTTGCCATAACTGATTCCAAAATAATTCGACACGACACATGTGTGTCTACACAAGTGTATATTTTGGGTTTTCGATAAAACTTGTATACTGTGCAGTTAACTGCTAAGTAATTGCTAAACTGATGTATGTTCTTGGATTATTTTACTCTGTATAAAAACGGCACTTTGCTGCTTAGAAGCTAACCTAGCCACTACGCGTAACAGACCGACCTGCCACTGTATCTGAACAGGATATGTTCTTTTTAACTTTTGACACATTTTCACATCCAGCCAAAGCCAGTAAAAAGGAAAGGTATTTGAATGTATGTAGCCTACTCTCCGTTTGCAACACATTCCTCTCAGGGTGTTGCTCAATTTGTTTAATCATTATTTTGTCAAATGAATGAGAGGCACGCTTCGAAATACAAGCGACAGTGACAGAGTAATTTTTAAATTCATATGTTATGTACGAATTTGCCTCGAGAAATCACTTTATTTAAAAATATTAAATAAACTTCAACTTATGTAAAACTAATAATAGTTTAATTTTACTAGAATTCGCGAAATATTTCTATAAACTGTAAATTGCATTACAAAATTTTGTATTAATTATTGATATGCTATAAAAGTCTGAAACCATCATACTGAATGTAAATAATTTATGAAACAGACCTTACTTTATATTTTAATAATCAATATGAGTGGTTTTTAATAAAATAGTCGATCGTTTTGACAAAGACTTAGTAGTACATCAATACAAAACAGGTTAATTTTCGTACAAAAAGTTTGTAACAAATGCTCTTGCCCGAATAGCAAGAGTACTTTACACTCAGCAGAAGGAACCCCCAAAAGCATGGTAAAACGTTCCCTAAAACCAATCATCTCAGTACCTAGTTTAACTACGACACTAACATAAAAATTAGATTTTTGATTTTTTAGCATCCCTCCCACCACCACGCTAGAGCCGTAAGCTTGCCGTAATATTAATTATATATAATTTATAACATGCCATTATAAAATTTTGTATTAATTATTGATATTCTCTAAAGGTCTGAAACCACCATACTGAATGTAAACAATTTATGAAACAGACCTTACTTTATATTTTAATAATCAATATAAGTGGTTTTTAATAAAATATTTTATCGATTTGACAAAGACTTAGTATATCAATACAAAACAGGTTAATTTTCGGAAGCTGTTGCTATGTTTCTTTTGATGGTAGTCTTGTGCAATAGTTTCAGTTAGTCGTAAAAGGTGATGCGTTGTGGAGTGATTGATCCTGTACCCGCATTGAAACGGTGGAATAGCGTTGGTTGAATTGGAGAATTAAATATGTCTTGACAGCATTAGCCTTCCAATAATGTTTGATATGTTTGGCAATAGACTAATGGGTCTGTAGCTTTCAACATATCTTGGTTTCTTCCCAGCTTTACAGAAATAAATTATTACTGTTTTTTTCATGCTGGGGGAAAATAGTGAAGCCTTTAAGCAGTATTGAGTATTGTCGTCAGGGCTGCAATATATCGCCTGTTCAACATTTCAATGCACGCGGTATTTATGCCGTAAATTTCTGGTGCTTTCTTAATTTTCAGATGCTTGATTTCAAAGGCTGTATCAGATGGGGGAAATTAATTTAATGGGGGATGCAGCGGTTGAAAAAGTTGAGTTGACGAAATTTTCGATTTCCAAGTTCAATGCCACGTTCTTACGGGGTGAAGTTTGAAGGTAGTTTCAAGGTGTTCCGCCATTACTGAGTTATCCTCGTCTTAGTATATTTGGTTTGTTACTATTTTCAGGGTTGGGATATTGTTTTCTTTCTTTGGTTCGGCGCCTGACCGATGACCAGAGGTGACTCGAATTACGATGAATTTCGCCTGTATCCTTATTGAAACCTGAAAAACGTAGTTTATCAAGTTGGGTTTTCACTAGTCTTGTTAGTTAGCTTATTTATTTTTGTTTTGACGTCTGATCTTCGAGTACTTTGCTAATATCGTCTCATATTGTTTTTTGATTTAATTAAATTTCGAATGTTTACTGGGATTGGTTAGGTATTTTGTGACGGCGAGATCATGTTCACTGTTTGATGGCATTAATAACTGATTTGGAAAATGTATCAACTTTATCGTCGATATCGCACATATTAATGATACCTTTGGATATGAGTAATAGGATAACATTAGATTAATAAATTTGTTCCATTTACGATTCCTCTTACTTCCTGACTGAGCTGGATTCTTTGTATTTTTGCCGATGAAGATATATGAATCGGACAGTGGTCATTGTCGAGGTACGATAAAACTTTTTGATGAATGGAGAAATTAACATTTTTGCTGAGTACTATATCTAAGATCTCTGAATGATGTTTGGATTGGATGCATATGATCTCGTTGATGCATATGATATCGCTGGTTCATTTGGATCTAGTTTATTACTGTTATATGCAATTGCCAAATCTGATAGCTTCTGTCCTTATCACGATGTTGAGTTACTAACCCACGCTGTATGTGTCGTTTTTGTGTCATTACGATACACGATGAAACCCGGTATATTGACACTTTCACGAGGAATTAAAAGGATTTCTGTGACACAGGCAATTAATGCGGCAATGTTTCAGGAAATATCGGAAACTACTTGCCAATTTTTTTAGACCGTTGGCGTTCCAGTTTAATAACTTATTTACCTCCAGAGTACTATTATTTATTACTGATGTAACTGTTGTATCTACCATACTTTGGATTTGTGGAACAATTGCAGATACAACTTGAGGAAACTATTGTTGACATAATATTTGACCAGTTAGTAGGTTGGGCAGTAAATATTGTTTGTCTCTTTGAAATTGGCTGCCGTGAGATGGGAAATATTTACTAGATTGTGGTGACAGTTTTGGAGAAATTGTAAAGTAAACTGGTTGTTTGATTTACTGCCAATTGCTTTTTGCGGAGTTTTAATAAATTATTGAATATATTTTTTATAATGACTACATCCTCTATAAGTCATTGCATAGAACTCAAGATCGTTAGCATATTATGGCGACTTCAGTCATTTTGCATTCCGAATAATGATGTTTTTTTAGGCAATATACGCACCTGGGATGTTAATCACAATTTGCTTGTGAATGACCATATCTCTGATAATTTTCACACATTACCCTGGAATTTAACTTTTGTTGCACTTTGATTATACTATAAATAAACCTGTTTTCAGAATATATCTTTCTAGCTTCATTCTTGTTTTCGAAATCTACTGCACACACTGGAATGGGGTTTCTTTCCTTGTTATGAAGTCAACAAACTTTTAACACTGGTAAACTCAAGCGAATAAGTTCATCTTTAATTTATTTTCTGAGTAGCTAGTGGGCGTATCCTTCATTATCACTGATGGGGGTTTTTGAATTGGGCTTCTGAACGAGTAGTACTAAACGTTTTGTTCATCACAAAGGTTACTGAAACTGCGTTAGTCTTCTGTAAAAGTGAGCAATTTTAACTGAACGTTTGTTAGGTTTTTTAGTAAAGTCTGCTTTGGCTATACTTATATTAACTTATTAAGACAACTACTTCGTGAACGTAAATGGGAGGGATTGTCACTTGCATTGGTTCTAATTTGCTCTGCTCCATGGGATCACTTTCAGTATTCTTTAAAAATGTATATCTAAATGAGACTGGAATATTATAACAGATTTCACTAAGAATGTGACCACTAAGAATGTGACCTTATTGATCGATCTGCTAATGGCGTTAAGGTCACTTACTTGTGGAGTTTGTGAGGTAGCAGAACTAGGAGTACATACGTCACTTAGAGAGTTTCCTTGTGCGGTTCCTGTTGGTTGTGGTTGAGATATTGTCGGAGGCTGGACATGAGACTGATGAGGCACTCCAGTAGCTGCGGCTGAATTTTTCCTTGTTGCGCGAGTTGAAGCTGTGTTTGCAACTGATGAAGCTATTGTTGATATAGCTGCCGCTGTTGTTGTTGTAGATGAGCTATCATGTATTTCACTAACTACTTTGTTTAAAGTATTCATGTCACTTCTAATAAGTTGCCCCATTAAGGAGCTTGAGTTTACTGATATTCACAATAACTCTGCATATAAATGATGAAATAAAGTCACAAAAACAATGTTTTTTAAATAAACTTAGCCCGTTACGGGCTCCGTAACCGACAATCACCACCTAAACGCTTATCTTGATTTACCACTACTGAGGCGAAGGTAAGGGCTGCCGCACACAGGGACGTGCGTGCGGTACCACTGCTGGGCCGAGACTGATGTTTATGACTTTAAACACACAGAAAATCACTGCAAGAGTACTGCACATTTGTTTTTGTGTCTATTATACATTTGTATGCATTGTTGTAGCACCTAGTAATTTTTTTAACGTTGGAATTTAGTTACTAATTTTCATAGTTTTAAAACTTTATTTGAGCTGTAAATCATGCGCTAAGAAAGTTGATAGTTTTTGGCAGTTTATAAGAAACCATTGACACAAATCCCTGTAGGTGTGTACTGGTGGGTAGATAATTACACTTCAGTCCACACTCCGACAGATTTCAGAAGATTAAAAATAGAAATTTGCAGATTGTGGCTTGCAAAAGAGATTATTGAAAAACATAATCGCAGACAACTCGGAAGTGATAAGTCCTAGGCTCTTTAAAACTCGGATGTGGTGAGTCCTAGGCTCTTTAAAACTCGGAAGTGATGAGTCCTAGGCTCTTTAAATCTCGGAAGTTATGCGTGCTAAATCCTTTGCGTATCCTGTCGGATACTACTTTTTAAAGAAGTGAATTCTGATATATCACTTGTTTTGGGGGACGGGTATGGGACTTATGGGGAAATGAGGGACAGTTAGGGGACAGGTGAAGGAAAGATGCGGAACATGCAAGGAAATGAAAGATGGCAGGCCCAGGATTATGTACTCAGGCGGAATTCTACAAAATAAGACGTTTATGATCATTCTTTTACTATTTGCAGATTTAGTCCTTTCGAAAGTCTCCACTCCATAGCATGGATGGTGACGCCCCAAAGATGCAGACACCACTCGTATATGCAAGAAGGATGCAGAGGCGAAAATCAGTATAAAATTGAATTGGAGTGATAATACCTAAATTATCATTCACGATAAAATTAAAGAGATTATTCAATTTTCTGTGCATTTTTATTTCAACATTTAGCAATAGTGCGTGGGTTTCTCTCGCACAGTACTGAATCTATAATGCCGAAACACCCAGTTCTGAAAATGGACGTTCACAGTTGGGTTATGCTTTAAATCAACATCAAGTTTTCAAACAATTATTATTGACAAAGTGCAGAGTTTTTGCACGTGTTCAGATTTTATGTACTTGCTTATAATATACGTGCAAGAATATGTACTTCTATAGAGATGGACAATATTTTCTCTAGTCAAAAACAACTACAGATTTCTTGGTTTTACCTACGGCCCAGCAATTGAAAAATATACATCACCTGTTCGAGAACTGATTTCTTACAAACTGCCAAATATCATATTTCCTTAGAGAGTTATATTCTAGATGATTGATTTAAAGGCTTTAAAAATATTATGATTTGTAACTAAATACCAAGGTCAAAAATTACCGGGTACTACAGAAAAGTAAACAAATGTGTATTTAATACTAAAAAATGTAGAGAATTGCTGCAATCATTTTCAGTGAATTTAAAGTCAGATTTAAAGGCAGGATATGGGGTAAAAATAGTTTTTTAACAACAGTTATCGAAAAAATCTTCTAAAAATTCCCATAGATTGGTGCTTTGAGAGAAAGGTTTGAGATTTTGTCTTGCCTGTTTCAGGATTCTAAGACGCAGTAAATATTTTTTTATAAATTTTTGACTTTTAATTTGTCACCGATAAAATATTAAAACATATTTTTCTGATAGTATGATTTTTTTATATTTTTCATACTTTTTCAATAATATCAAATAATTTGAAGTTGACGAAAAAAATAAAATTAAAAAACACGTTTTCGCCTCTAGAAGGGTGGTGGTTGTAGGAGAGTAAGAAATATATCATTATCTTACTTTTGGACTGGGGGTTCTAGTTTAACTACTAATATGCAATTTGACATTAGGGACCTTTTTACCATCTAATCCGGGGGCACCCTTTCATTGGAAAGTCTCGGTTCATGCATTCAACAATTTCCTGGCACTCAGGGAGAAGAAGAAAAAAAAGTGAAGGGAATGGAACTCGCTTTCCATTGAACCAAGAAGTGTCCGACATGATGAAGCATTGATTTCCTCATCGGTGATAGTCATCGGGTATTACAATGGAGCTAATGTGGTGAATGTGTAGTTTATAGTGCATTAGAGTACTTGTACTATATGTACTCTGTAGTGAAGTACAACTGAAACAAAAACGTGAAAATTCCGAGTCGTTTTATTTTGTTTTTGGTACAGGGAGAGGTGGCTCAGCAATTGTCACTGCAGTGTCTCTGACCGGGAGATCCTAGGTGCGAGTCCCGACGGTAGCAGTATTTTTTTCGACGCTAGCTAGAGGGCTAGGTCAAATTCAGTTGTTGTGTGGAGGAGAATTCTAACGGAGGCATCTGTCCGGTAGTTTTCCTTTGTTTCTCCTATCAATACCAGGCGAATGCCGGAGCAGTGCCGTAACAAACGGGCCACAGTCTGCGCGCGTACTTTCCTTCCTCTTCCTTGTCATAACCTCACACTGATGCTAACATGCACTACCCTACAGAACCGGTCGGGAACTTCCGGCTTGTCTCGGTTGAGGCGGTGCTCACCTGGTGAGAAGTACCTGGCTGGAGAAAACAGTAGGTCGGCGCCGGATCACTCACCATCTACCGAGGGAAGATCACCGTCACCTCCCGAGGAAAAAGGAAATTGCGGGACTCACGACCTTAACACTTGATGCGCCCAGTTGATCATTTTTTTCCGTTACGTTCTTCATATTCAGACATTCTTCCATTCACTTGCGTTTTAATAAATTCAAGAATATATACTTACCAAAAAACTAGGGTAATCGAAACCAAGAAATTAATTAAAAACTATACAAAATAGTCATAAGTAGATGTTTTATAAACAAAAAAATATTGCTTCCTAAGGTTTCAAATACGTTCTGGAGCCTCACAAACAGTACCAAACTCTAGACTCTTAACTTTCAATGAATTATGTTATGCTATAATACCTACGTTAATCTTATTTCTTTAGATAAAATGTGTAGTTCTGAAAAATTACACAGCGCTACAAATGTAATTTCACGAAGAACAAATAAAACGTAATTGTTATGTAGTTTAATTTCACGATGACAATAGTGAAAACCATTTTTTCTTATCACCTAACTTTTTTTCTCCAAACGCAATTTTATCTGCGCTTGACTGCGTTATTTATGTTGTCGCGACGCTTATCACATTCTGTTATTTTAGGAATATTATATTATGAAGGAATATATATTTTGATATATATGACTATTTAGGAATATATATTTTAGGAATATTGTGTTGGGAGTAGAGGGAAGGGTGATATAGGCTTTTGCGATAGGTAAAGGAAAGTGGCACTTACATCAGTCAATCGATAGTGAGATAACACTGTATTGTAACCTTTACCAATCTGTAGTTGACACAAATACCAACGCTACATTAAAATAGCGCTGGCACCCTCTGCAAGAGGTTGGAAAACTCTATATATAAATATTCTGAAATATTTGAATTGTAGTGCCTGTGCTGACCTACGCAGTAGGGAGCAACAAGAGAAGGCTTTGACACGAGAGGAAGGTCGGTGTGCTATTGGGGAGTGGTGGTAAGCGTGGTGAGAACGAAGAAGAGAAACGGACACTGAAGCTGCTGCGCCTAGGTGTACGGGCGTCCAGTTTCTTACCCTACATTGCCGTGTAAGAACCCGGATGTGCGCGGAGTCGTGTATTCGGCGTCACCAGCCCGCTGACCGTCGCAAGCTTCGCGCCGTTGGGTGAGGCAAGGCCCCGCGAAGAGGTCGGTAATAATAGTCTTTCCTATTTTTTCTTCTTACCTTTCGCCACGAACTTACCATGATTACGAGAAGCATCAAGTTCGCCCAGTTCGCTAACACGTAGGAGACGAAGGATAAACGGTCATAATCGGGCAATCGGGCACAAATGATGACGTATTAGATTTTGTCACGAATAATTGCGTCATCACACGTTCAGCCAATCGTAGCGAGAGAATCGGGGGGAGGTAGAGCTAAACGGAACAGCAGACCACTGTTTACTTGCACGATGTCAAATACGTGAGTCGTCACAGCGAATTTGTTTCGCAAAATTAAATTTGATTCTCTTATAAATGTATAATGCTGTTATACAAACGTTTAGTATGCAACACGGTTTTAATGTTGCGTTATTACATTCGTACAATTTTGAAAACTCGCTCCTAAAGCCGCTCGTTTTCAAAAGAAGTACTCGTGCAATAAAGCGTAACATTATAAACTAAATGCATAAAACTACTATTGTGCATGTTCTTGTGTTTCTTACACCCAACAATATCCAGGAAGTATGTTATTTCATCAAATTATTCTGTTACGTTTTTGGCGAGTTTACGACTAAGAATCACAGGCATCTCGTTTCTCTGTGTGTCAAAAAGGCACACGAGTTGTATTTTAAATCAATAGTAGATTAGGGTGTTGGTCAGCATAGAACTGTTGCTCATGTTGCTCCCGCTCATTAACAGGCTGATTGTTTAGAAACCACCCACCTGTGCCATTTGCCGTACTACAGTTGTGGAGGGAATGTTCAGTTATGGTAACATACCAGAATGTCAGGCAACGTCTGCAGTAGAGTGGCTATTCGAATCTCAAATGAAAAAACTGTGGTGATATCAAAGTTCTGGGACTTTTAGGAATGCAGATTGGTTATAAAAAATATTGCTGTCTCTTGTTCCACTGGGATAGGAAAAGGAAGGAAACTTATATAGTGAAAGAATGGCCTTTGAGAGAAATTTTCAATCCTGGTGAAAAAAAAAATGTCACATGAACCCCTTGTTGACAAAGACAGTGTACTGTTACCACCACTACATCTGAAATTGTAATTTATGAAGAGCTTTGTGGAATCAATGGAAGAAGATGGCCA